CCCCAAAACCCCAAAACCCCAAAACCCCAAAACCCCAATTATTTGGTCACTATTGATTTTTATAATAATTAATTCTTAATGGAGCCGCTTGCAGAAGAGACTAAGATTGGCAGCCAGAGTGAAGCCAGTAGTGACATCCCAACCCCAGCAGATGATAAAATACAGTATGAATTTTGATATAATTTCTATAGAGAGGACAGGAAACTCTTACCTATTTATGAGAAGAAGCAGGATATATTGAAAGCAATTTGAGAAAACTTGTTCGTCATTGTCACTGGTGAGACTGGTAGTGGTAAAACCACCCAAATCCCACAATACGTTGTAGATGATATGAGGAGAGAGGACATTTTAGCTCCGCTTCCCGAAAAGAGTGCTAAGAAATATCCTTTTAAATGCAACGATGCTTATGATTCAAGAATGGATAGAAGGGAAGTCAGAGCTGTAGTTACACAGCCAAGAAGAGTAGCTGCCATTCAAATGGCAAAAAGAGTAGCAATTGAGTCTGGATGTCGTCTTGGAGGACATGTTGGATACACTATCAGATTCGAAGACAATTCCAACCCTGATACTGGTATTAAATATGTCACAGATGGTATACTTGTGAGAGAATGATTAATGGATCCGAATCTTGAAAACTATGATGTAGTCATTCTTGATGAGGCTCATGAGAGATCGCTCTTTACAGATATTCTATTCTCGCTTGTAAAGCAAGCTGTAATTAGAAGAAAAGGGGCGCTAAGGTTGGTTGTAACCTCTGCTACACTGCAAACAAAGTTATTCTCTGAGTTCTTCTTTAATTGCCCAATTATTGAGGCCTCAGGTCGTTGATATCCTGTAGATGTGATGTATATTGATTCTCATCCTGAAAAGAGAATTTTGAACTCGGTAAAAGCAGCAATCAGAATTCATATAAATGAACCTATTGGGGATATACTGGTCTTCTTGACAGGATTTGACGAATGAGATAAAGCATGAAAGATGTGTCATGAAGAATTGATGAAACTACATGAGTCTGGAAAAGAAATGGCACCAATGCTAATCATGCCACTTTATGGGTCTATGAACACAAAGCAACAAAATCAAATCTTCCAAAAGACTCCAGAAGGAAGCAGGAAGATTGTGTTCTGTACAAATATTGCTGAGACTTCTCTGACTGTTGATGGGATAGCATATGTGATAGATTGAGGACTTGTGAAACAAAAAGTCCATAATCCAGAAACTGGAATGGAAACCCTGATGGTAGTCCCAATCAGTCAAGTACAGGCTCAACAAAGGACAGGAAGAGCTGGTAGAACAATGGAAGGAAAGTGCCTTCGATTGTATAAGCACAAGGATTTCGAGAAGAAAATGCCAAAGCAAACAGTTCCTGAAATACTCAGGACCAATCTCTGATCAACTGTCTTGACTCTCCTCAACTTGGGAATCAAAAATGTAATTCAGTTTGAATTCATCGAAACTCCTGGTAAAGAGAGCCTTTTATTTGCTTTAAAGCAGCTATTTCTTCTCAAAGCAGTTGATAAGGATGCCCAGTTAACTGATCTTGGAAGAGAAATGAATAGGTTTCCTCTAGAACCTTCTTATGCTAAGCTAATCTTAGCGTCAAACTTCTATAAATGTCAAGACGACATGGTGACTCTTGTCTCAATTCTTTCCACCGAGAATATTTGGATTCCAGTAGCTGCCAGAGACGAGACCAGGTTTAACAAACTTGAAGATATCAGGAAAGGATTTTCTGTTGAGAACAGCGATCATCTTACTCTTGTAAATGTTTACCAATCTTGGAAAGACACTCGATACTCTGAAAGTTTCCTTCGGAAGAACTTCTTATTGTTCAGAGCAATGAAACAAGCTAGGAAGATCAGAGAACAACTCTTAGAAATCTCTGATAGGATTCATTACAAAAATGTTGAAAAATACTTTGAAAGTGCGCTTGGTCTCTCAGATGATGGACCTACTGAGAAAAGATTCAGAAGATGTATGACTGAAGGATTCTACATGAACGCTGCAAGGCATATCAAAGCACAGAAGGAAGGAACCTATCTTACAGCTCACGATAAGATTATAGTCAAGGTTGACCGATGGAGCGTCTTCGATATGTTCTCAAATTATCCTGACTGGCTGCTTTATACAGAACTTGCAGGAACCATGACTGGAAATAAGGGAATCATGAGACTAGCCACTGATATCAAAGTAAAATGGATCGAAAAGAAGATCCCAATGTTAGAGAAAGTTGACATGGAAAGACTAGAGTATGCTGGTGATCCTCCACTTCATGCTGGTACCAAGAGAACCAAAATTATCATGGAGAAAATTGAAACTCTGATTGATCAGAAGAAAAAGGAGAATGAAGCAGAGGAAAAGAACGCAGTTTTATCGAGAGACGAAAAGATAAGACTAGCAAAGGAAAGAATGCTTGCTCGAAAAAGACAGAAAAACAAGGAATAATTATTGTTTTAAACCTATCCATTCAATATTTTTAGTCTCTTGGGGTTTTGGGGTTTTGGGGTTTTGGGGTTTTGGGG